CTCCCCGGGAGGGGCTTGTGCTGCTCTGCGGGGTCACAGCTCCTCCATTAACCGGGGGCAGGGTTCAGCCCGATAAAGATTTGCTTTTGTACTCTGTTAAAAGCAAGGAAAATCAATAAATTGCGAGCGATGGGCAGGCGCGATAAGGGCAGAATTCTCCACTCCTGCCCCCCAAAACTGTGGGTGGGGAGCAAAACCAGCAGCAGCCCAGTTCTCCCATTATGTCCCCATTCGGTCCCCATCAGCTCAGGCTGAGCCCAAACAGACCCAGCCCAGCAAGGCTTGAATTTAACCCCCCCAAGCTCCGCCGTCAGCCCCAAGGCTGCCCTGATTACTTGAGCACCCGGGACGGCAAAGCTGGGATAATCTCCTTAGCCCCTTTGGAGAGATTTCCCTTTGTGAGCGGAGGTGAAGAGTGGAGATGCTGCGTGTTCGCAGCTTAAGACTCTTCCCAATCGGCTCCCTCCATCTTATCGGAGCGGTGCCATCGCATCATTGCGCTAGTTGAGTTGTCAGGATTTATTCCTTCCGTCGGGCGCTCACCGCTGCTCAAAACAGCAGCCGGGGCCTGCGGAGGGGCCAGGGCTCCTCCGGTTCAGCTTTTCCCAAGGTTGGGTACCAATGGATGGATGGATGGGTCCATCCTCCCTCCTCCTTGCTCTGGGTGCTTGCAGGTGCTGGGATGGGAGCAGAGACCACCGCTATGAACCACCAGGGCCGGTGCTGTGTTAATAGGAGCGGTGCAGCTGGTGCCAGGATGCAGCCCCATGATGCCCCGATAGCCGTATTTATCCCAATAGTATCCAGGCAGTTGCAAACACTCCAGGACTTTCGAGTGCCAGAGCTGGTTTATTTGGATTTCACTAAAGCTAAGGGGATACAGGACCCATTTGGGATGGGGTCGCTGGGTTTGCCTTTCCTTCCTGCTTGTAGGAATGAAGATGTAGGTGCGTGGATGCAGCTGCAGGTCCAGAGCATCCAGGACCAAACCCGGATGGGCCCCACCATTTATTTCCCCAACCATGAGGATGCCATGGGTCACCTCACAGGAGTTCATCACACCCTGGTCCTGCATTAGCCCCCCTGCCAGAGGACGATGCAGCCGCATTGAAGGGTGATGCCTTGTCCCTCCTTCATCCCTCACCATGCGCCCACCGAGGACCCCCATGTCCCCAGGTGCCAGTAGTGCTTTCTGAGCCATCGATCACCTGCAGTGCGATGACAGGATTAATCTTTGCTCTCTGCCACAGCTCAGCCCATTTCTTTGAAATCTCTCGATGGGGAGAGATAAGGCGAGGCCCAGGGCTGGGTAAGCAGGCACCATTGGGCCGAGGTGAACAAGGACCAGCCCCTGCACCCCCTGTTTTGGCAGAGCACCGGGGGGCTATGCTGCTCCATGCAGGTGCACCCAGCTCATGGTAGGGGGTGGATATTTTCCCTTCCTTCCTTCCTTCCTTTCCGCCACTTTTCGTTGCAGCCCAAAGCAAACAGCCGGGTCCCTGCCCAATTTGGTTAATGATCTGGGAGATAAAACCCTGCTGCGATAACAACAGGGCACCGCCTGGCCACGGACCAATGGCCCCATGAGATACCCAGGGTGGTGTTCACCACCTGGGGGGACTTCGCTCCATGGGGTGGGGGGCTGCTGGGGGACACCTGGGCTTGACATCGGCTCTTCCGGGTGCAGAGATGGGGTTCACTTCACCATTGTGGTTTTTCCCACATGGGAATGTGGTTTGCTCCTTATTTGGGGGCATTTTTGTGGACAACATGAACACGCGGCATCTCCCACTTTACCCCATCCCCTGTACCACGTGGTTAATTTGAAAATATCACCTTTTTCCCCCTCTTTTTCCACACTGGATGCAGTTGGGCAGGTGCTCCAGCCCAGCACAGCAACACCCATCCAGACACAGAACCCCTTGGCACTGCTGACCAGAGTGACCCCATTTTTGGGGTGACACCAGCCAATTGAGCCACCGAGCAGTGCCGCGGCCACCGGGCGCTGGCAGGGAGCGGGGCCGGCTCCGGCAACACTATTTTTGTCCCCCCTGTCTGGAACGGTTTTCTCTTTATCAGCGCCTGCGTGTTTTCTCTGCTGGGGATTGATACACAGAAGATGAAGTGCTCTGACATGGGAAGTGTCAGGCGAACGCTCTTATCTCGGAGACATGGTCTCCTGACCCAAACGCTGCTGATTACCAGTGAGACGGGGGGGAAAGGGGGGTGCAAAAAAGGGGGGGAACTGAGGGGGGTGGTGGCAGTTGGGCTCCGTTCCCCAAAAGCAGCCGGGTTGTATGGGGTGACAAAGCCACCGCTGTTGGGGCTCTCCTGGGGATTTGCGGCTTTGCTGTCCCCTCCCTGGGGATGGAGGAGTGAGGACCGGTGGTCTGGGGGTGTTGGGGTGGTGATTGGGGGAGCCCAGTGCATTGGGAGGCAGCTGGGAGCTGGTTTTTGGAAGTGATGAGCACCATGCAAGGGTCCATGGCTGCATCCTGCTGGGATGCTCCGCTCCCTGGCTGACCCCAGGTCCTTCATGGTGGGGAGGA